TAATCACCTTCCAACAGCCCCATCTTTGAACACATGGAACTTTGGGGGAACATTTTAGATCTAAGCCCTAAGGGTCACCTTGAACAAGTTACTAAATACTTTCCGTCTTCAGTTGCTTCACCTATAAAATGAAGTTAATCATATTGACTCACAAAACAGACCATGAAATTAAAAGAAGAAATTCATCTGAATTTCTAAAAAGAAGTAATTGACAATTAGATCTCAGCAATGTTAGTCTCTTTCCAGTAACTACCCAATTGTCCTGACTCTCTTTTACCTTGAACCCACTGTTTGTTTGTAACAAGTAATAACCACTGCATAGTGAAAAGAATAGAAGGACTAAGAATTAGAAGAAATAGATTTGATCCAAATTCTGTCTTACATTTGCTATCTGACTACAGACGAAATTTTTGAGGGTTCTGAGTAAGTCGTGTGTACTTGGACAATTCAATTAATATTTTTGAACTTCTAATTTTTAGAGGTAGGTTTGAGACAAAAATATTCATTAATTTGAATATTTATGCCCCATCACTGAATATCTACAGAAAGCATGAAAGCAGATTGCAGTAAGTTCTCCATTTCCACCCAGGTCTTCGTCACAGTCACCTGAGAGTAGACAGCAAGTTCTTAGGAGTACCTCCCTCTACATCATTTCCTCATCTGCAACATGAGAATAATACTGTTTTGCAGGATGGCAGTAACTAGTAAGGGTAGCATATACAAGGCCCAGCACTTAAAGTAGGTTGTGCATGCAACAATTCATTGTTATTGTCATTATTATTGCCACTGCAAGCCACTTTTAGTCTAAAGGAAGAGTAACAAGTTACAAGATGCATTTGTACTTTCTTCAGCATTATATTTTGAAATCCACTGAAGGCTAGTCACTATCCTACTTTAAGTCATGTTGCTTTAACTTGTCAATATGTAAGCACACAGGCAAAAGGATAACAGGAGACATTTTACTATCTCCTTAATGAACGCATTTCTCAAGCTTACATCTAATAAATAGAACTGGTTCATGAACACAGACTTTCTTTAGCCATAAACTCATATTGTAGGGGAGAATTAGGAATAGGCTTCCCTTTATATATAGAATAATCTAAGTTGGGAATATGAATCTAGGCAGCAACACTGGGCAGGTGGATGGAAACCTACTTCTGTCTAATAAGACAGTTACACTCCTCAGTAATAATGGATCATCAAGGTATAGTGACTGAAAGGTTAAAAAGCAGTAGCTCCTAAATTTGGCTGTAGACCACATTACCTGGTTACCTGTGAAAGTTACTGTTAAGTCTCCTCAGGAAATTCTAGTGTGCACCAAAGTTTGGTTTAACAATACCATGTTAGTCAAAGGCTGCACACCCTCATTTACACTGGCACCTCCTCATGTGTCCCCTCTGCCACTGTCCCCAGCTAGAAATCTGAGGCAGAACACAGACCTCCCTCTGATGGGTCACACACTAGAACAGAGTAGCCTCTGGGGCTCCACACATGGAGCTCCTCCCCCGGCCCCTGCTGGCTTCCTCTGTCTCTCTGGCTTTGAAGTCTGCCTTTTTCTCTCCTGCCCACTGCAGGTGACCTCAGAAAGACTCTGGAGCCAAGCTGGCTGAATTAGGGCACAAGCCTTTTAAAGGTCTTCTCACCCCTATGTTGGCTGGATCTAGAATTGCAGGTTTCAGATTTCTCTGAAACCATCAATTTTAATCAATCGCTCCGAGGAGGTCAGTTCCTCAGCTGCTCTGTTGGTTCCTGAACTTCACCATCCTAAACTTAGTTCACAGTGAAGGGGAAAGCTTCGAAGACCTGACACAGGATCTTGGCTGCACACATACCGCCACCAGCCCAGCCACATGGAGCCACCCATGTGATGTCTCTCCTCATCCTCTCAATCGATGTGACTGCTCCTCAGTCCGAGACCCCCAGGGCTCTCCCCCACTGCTGCAGCTGCAGCATTATCCGGTTGAAGAGCATCACACTGACCTCGTGGACTGAACTCCAGCCACTCAGCCCTATGATTCTGAGCTGATTTAACTTTCCTGCAGCAAGGCTCCTGTATTGATAAAATTATTTTTGCAAGTTAGGATGAAAAATATAATGTATCCAAACTGCCTATTTGGGGCCTGAGACATACTGGACATGTGATAAGCAACAGCCACTGTTTCTTGCAGGCCAGATCATATTTTGCCTTACAGTATGGTTATTTGAAAACACTTTGAGGTTTACTTTTGTTGGGAGGTTAGTGGGACTGAGCCCAGGGGTATTCTGCAACTGAGCTCCATCTCCAACCCTTTTTATGTTTAATTCTGAGATGCATTCTCACTAAGTGGGCTGGCCTTGAGCCTGCTATCCTCCTGCTTCAGCCTCTTGACTAACTGGAATTATAGGCATGCAGCATCATACTAGCTTCAAGTTAATTTTATTTTTTAATTATCTGAGGTACTAGTTAAGAGACATTCACTAATAATTAATTTAAAAATAAAATATTTAATGCCATGACCTTGTTATATTTAATTCACTCATGTATCAATGACATTTTCCACATAGATTACCTTAAAACTATTCAAGACTTAAATAAGGGCTGAAAATGTAACTCAGTGGTAGTGTGCTTGCCTACCATAAGCAAGATCTATATCTGTATCTATAATCTCTCTCTCTGTGTGTGTGTGTATATATATATATATATATTCCTCAATAATGTAAGGTTACATGCATGAGCAAAGTACATATATACATTTATATACATACATATATTCTACATACATATACATTCTTAAGTAACGTAAAGCTACATGTAATTGGATGACATTTATTCTAGCGCAGATTGCTGCTAAAGGGGAAAAGATTAGAATGAACCTGAGGAAGTGGAAATGAGTTTTCTGCTCAGGAGTTGCCCCTCACCTGGCCAACACATCAGCTACTATGAGCTCTGCTTTTCCAGGTCTTAGAGGAACATGGCCTGGGTGTGCACAGATAAAAAGGAGAACTCAGAAAAAAGACACTGGGTTTCTACTTTGGTCTCACATTACATTAACATCCAGAGGCTGGTAAGAGAACAAACTACTTGTTTCTTGTTCTTAGATTGAATGTGTTACTGCGTAATGTAACTGTGCCCTAGGGAATCTCTTTGAGCTTAAGGAAAGGACTTTCTCTCCTCAAAGCCAATAACAGAAAGTAAATCAATCAGTGAAAGGTATGTGTTTACAAACTCAAGAGAGAATATTGAACAAAAATCTCTGTTGATACAGAGACCCTATATGTATTTATGAAACTAAATATTGTATGGCTATATCTCATAGACTTAACAAAAAAATTCATTCCAAGCTAACTTAATATTCAAATTTGATGCTAGTCACCAATTTGTTAAATCCTTCAATTTCTATATGTTGCATAACCATATGCTGCATAACCAAAAGTTTGGAATCAGTCCCACATGCAATACAGGCAATTCAGGTAATAGGCATCTGTAAGCACATCACAATATATTTTTCTATTCATCTGACTCAGGTAACTTACAAGAAAAAAGGAACAGGAAAGACAATATTCTAATTACGAACCTTTAATCTAGCACTATTCATGTAGGTTTGGGAATTATTTGTCCCAGGGCTGCAAATGCATATACAACATGATATACACACCACAATAAGTACAGCATTAAACACAATAGGGAAAGCATTAAACTTTCATTGAAAATATAAAATTACCAAACAGTTGAAGAAACCCGTGGTAAAGACGATGGGTTTTTACACGGCATCTCAGCTCTGCATGTAACCTAATTCTGCCTCTAGAAAAAATGTAGTAAAGCTAGTTTTATGAATGAGTCGATTTGCACACATTGGAAAGAAAAAAAGAAAAAGCTTAAAGTTCTCAACCCAATTATCCAAACTTTAAAAGGTTATCTACAAATAGGTTGATAAGCACAGACATCTCTTTGAGCCCATTATACAGAAATACATATTTTAAACTTCCTATCATAAATTTGGCCATGTATTAAGTACTACAAACTTTATTCTTAAATGACCTTTAAGAAATCATGACCTGCCCATTGCCCCTGAAGGAGCTCGGTCCGGTGCCCCCGCTGCTGCAGTGAGACTGCGTTGAGCGCCAGCTCCCGGCAGCTGGGGAAGCCCTCCGCCGCCAATCCAGGCTTCCCCGCGCCTTGCGTCACGCCCCCAGGATGACGTCGAAGGCCACCCTGGCCGGCCACGTGGGCCGCTGCCCCCGAGACCCGCGTGGCAGCAGCGGTGCCCAGCGTGGGGAGCGGAGGGAGCGCGCAGGCTCCTCGGGGCGGTCCTCGAGCCTGACTGGAGCCCGGGTCCTGGCCCAAACTCAGCCGGCCCTGAGGGGTTGAGGGACCGGGACCGCGGAGCGCGACCGCCCCGGGCGCCTCCTCCCCGGCCGGCACCGCGAGGCGCTCTCCGCGCCAGTTCTGCCCCGGGCCCCGCCGCGCTCTCCCGACCCGCCCTCCGCTTCCCAGGACCTTGCTGAGCCCGGCGCACTGCGCGGGAGGGCGCGACAGTGCTGCCCCAGCTGTGCCCGGGACATCGCCTGCGCCCCGAGCCCCGGTCGCCGGGGTGGTGCGCCCGCGCTCGGTGCCACGTCGGAACTGCCCGGAGCGCGCGGTGATGGCGCGGGACCCTCCTCCCGGGTCCCGGCGAGCGGAGGAGGGCGGAGCGGGCCCGGGCCGCTGAGCCCCTGGGTCCCCGCCGCGAGGCGCCGGGCTGCTCAGCATCCTCCCCTCCGCGGGAGCCGGGCAGGGGCACACGCGTCGCCCTCCAGTGGGGGCTCCTGGCCCGGCGCGCAGCCCCGAGGACGCTGCGCGGGAGGCCCGTCCGGGAGCGCACACGAGGGCACCCAGCGCTACGGCGGTCGGAGGGGCCGCCCGGCCTCCGGTCTATGGGAAAGCTCCACTGCGGTGCACCCGGCTTGGTGCGGAGCCTGCGCCGACAGCGTGTGAGGCGCTCGGGCTTCCGCGCGTAACCCCCGGGCGCGGCGGAGCCTACCTTGCTCAGCTGTGCATGCAGCCGTCCTCAGCTGCCTGCGCGGCCCGGCGGGGCGGGAGCAGTGTCCAGGGCCGAGGTGATGGAGCTCAGATGGACTTGAGACGGTCGGCCAGAAAGCAGAGGAAATTTACAAACAACATTTAAAAAGTAGGGGCGAGTCTCAGTGTTTGGTTCTCCACCCAGCAAGAGATTTGACTAATGTTCTCTTTCTTATTTCCGTTCCACTTCGGTCTTCTGGTGCTTTTAAAAATTTATCTGTGCTTTAAAAATAAATTAACTTTTTTGCTCCAGTCCTGTCCGTGATAACGGCAGAGAGAGAGCGAGAGGGAGAGGGAGGGAGGGAGGGGCGAGCCGAGGGCAGAGCGGGGAAAGTCTTCGGCTGGGCCGGTCCAGTCCCGGGCTCAGGGGGCTGCGAGGCCCGGCCGGCTGAAGCCTCCGGACGCCGGCCGCTCGCTCCGTCCGCGCCCGCCGCGTGAGGGTCCTGGGCGGCCGGTGGGAGTTTTAATAGCGCGGCCGGAGGGGCGAGGGGCGGGGGCGCGCGGGGGCCGGGGAGGGGCTCGGGCGGGGCGGGGCACAGCCGCCACTCAAGCCGCGGAGCGCGAGCGCGGGCGCCAATGGTTCAATCAACGCGGTCCTTAATGTCCGCGGCACGCCCGCATCTGGGGCCTCCAGCAGCGCCGCTGGGCGGCTGGCCTCCACCTAGGAACCCCGCCGGGCGCGAGTGCTGGGCACGCAGGGCCCGTCCTGCCCGACCCCGGCCGCCTCGGACGCCTGGAGCCGACGTTCAGGGTCGGCGCCGCCCTCCTGCGCTCGTTCTCACCGTGGGCGAGCGAGACAGAGTCGGAAAGTACTTGTTATTTGTCGTCCCCCTTGGTCCCCAACGTAAAAATGCACAGAGCACGTTCGAAAGACAGTTTAATGGGCAAAGTCGCTTCCTGCAGGACGGAACTCCTCAACGCACACTCGCACACTTTCCTTCGCCAAGGAGCGGCCGCGGCCTCCGCCTCTTGGGGGCCAGCAGGAAGGCAGCGGTCTGGCTAGTCCCGCGAGCCCAGGGGTCTCCCCCGCTGCACTCCTCCCACGCCCGGACGGACCTGGCCTGTCCCCGCCGTGCCCGTGGGCCTCCCCGCCTCTGTGACGCACCGTGGACAGCAGGTGGCAGTGTTTGGAAGGAGATGCGAACGGGAGAGCCCGCGACTTTTCTTTTTTCCTGGGGTTGGTTTGTTGCTGTTGTTGGGTTTTTTCTCCTTCCCTTTCCAAAAGTCCTCTGAGGTGTAGCTTTCTTTCTCATTCAGCTACACCTTAATGACGAGGTTATTGGTCTGTGATTAGGAGGAAAAATGCAGTGGGCAATAATGAACAAGTCCCTCGGACGGGAACGGCAGAGTCGCATAAGCTGGGCGATGCCTGCAACCCGCCACACAGTGTGCAGTGCTAGGGAACGTGATTCTGGGTCGAGTCCGGCAGCCGCCAGCCCCCAGAGCCCAACTTGCAAAGTACGACGCCCCTCACCTAGGTGGACACGCGCACACACACGCACGCACACGCACGGGCCCGTGCCTTCGCTCCACTCCAAGACCCACTGCTCACATCCAGGGCAAACCTTGACCGCAGCCTGCTTAGGTCCCGCCTACCTGTTTCAAATGCGGAGACGCTGGCTTAGGTTTCAGAGCGGTTTCATCTCAATGAGACTTGAGCTCTGCCGATTTTCTTTTTTGCTTTTATACTAAAGTGTACTTTAGAATGGCGTACCTAATTTCTGTATTCCGACACCTAATGCAGATTATGTTGATTTGCAGGTGGGGTGGAGATTGCTTGGCTCCGACGATTGCCAACCTGTGAGACCCCAGAGGCTTCGAAGCTTCGAGCTTCCAGCCTGGAGCAGCGTGTGCAGTGCTGTGTCTTAGTACCCTGCGAGAGTCCCGATGCTAATGGCTCAAGCAACGAGGACACTCAGTAAGACTGAATGTATTTACTAAAAATTAGCACATTTGTTTTTCTCCCCTTGTCCCTGTAATTCTCGACCTCTGGATATAACAGTTGATTATATGTCCATGCATTTCTATTCTCTCCTTCCTCACTCTAGGAATAGGGAAAAGGCTCACAGAACTGAAAGCCAGAGAATAAATTTCCTTGAAAGCCAAAGGGGTCCAAATGAGAATCTAAAATTCAGTCCTATTTTTGGTATTTATCGTTTGTGAGATACTAGAAGCACATTTCACCAACCTTCATTTTCTAGCTGATAAGTGAAGAAAATGCCCACTTGACGTAGTTGTTATGAAGGTAGGCTGTCTTAAGGCATCAGTGTCTGCAGCGTTGTGAGCATCCAGAAAGCACTGGTGCAGTGCTCTCCTCCTGGCCTTCTAATCCTTAAATTATTTTTGCAAGTGGGTTAATAGCTTATAGGGAGGAAAGGTTTATTTTTCTCATTGTTTCAGAGGTTTTAGTCCAGGGCCATGGGGGCCGTGGGTCTGGGCCCCTATGAGGAGAACGTGACCGACGGCCCACTTCTCCGGTAGCCAGGGAGCAGACAGGAGCTGGCGTCTCAGTTCCCTTCCACGAGAGCACCCGGTGTCCCGCCTTCCCAACTGCACGGGGCTGGGGAACAAGCCCGTGACACCGGGTCTGTGGGAGATGCCTCTCCAGCCCGTGACCGGAAGCCCTGGCCGTTGTTTCTGTCACAAAGCCTAGCATACCTGTTCTCCCCCTCCCATAGGATGCACCAGGCTGTGCCCATGGAGATATCGCAAACCTTCACATTTTATCTGGCTTCTTTTCTGAGTCCAAGGTCAGAATTTCAGCTCCGAGCTCTCCAGTCCTGATTCATAAGCACCAAGTTGAGCGATACGAGACTCAGTTTACCAACACACTATGCCACCAACCAGTTAATATCAAATTAATATTGAATTAATAACACTTGATATTATTTACATCTCAGCTTTCTATCTTAAATTCAAGCTCTTGAATCAGAGGATGACATCCTTCATCCATTTCTTCATTCCTGAAACATCCCGTATACAACCTGGTTTCCAGTCCTTTTGCATTCCCAGTTCAAGGCAACAGAGCCATCCCAGACAGTGAAAGTTGTGCCCATGTTGATACAAACTAATAGTGCACTGCTGCTGATCTCCCTCCCACAGCACAAAACAAATATTCTCAATGTCTGACAGTGTATCTACAACAGAGGGTTAGTGTCTTTATAATTCTTACTCGGTTGTTATGCTTTCAGTAAAGAACTACTTCATACTCTTCAAAGTTAGTGAAGACCTCAAAACTGTCCTTCTCTATCTTCCAGTACTTACCATATGAGGAAAGTTGAATGACAGTGTTTAAAATATTTAATGATTCATTTAAAGTTATAACAAACCCAAATACACATCAACTTTAGTAACATTTTTATACACATATTTTCCAAAGTGAATTAGGCAGAAAAGCAGCACTGCTTTCTACTTTTGCAAATCTCTATAGTGTCTAGCTTTATTAAAGATAGCTGTAGTCTTATATTTGCTTCCATTCAGTTCTTGTATTAATTTAAATATAGCACAAAAAAACTCTGGTCTTACGTAGACATACAATTTGAAATGGAGGAGGAATATTTTGTCTTTTTAAATATTCTTTGATAAAACATCAAAACTCACATTGCATCAAAATTGCAATGTTGATCCTGAAACAGTATGAATGAGTTTTTAAAATACTAGTCTGTCTTACATCTGTGCAACTACAAACGCTCATGAATTCATAGCATGTCCGGAGCATTTAAAAGTCAGTATACTGTGTTACACACATTTTCTAAATGTTACTATATTTCATTCTCAGTACTTAAAGAAGAAGCACAATCATTAATATTTCCGCCAATCTTACCCAGTATGTCTTCACATATTAGGAAGCTGCTAGCCCCATCATGATGAATACAAGTTCTTTAAAATTGTCTTTTATTTTTTTTTTAAAAAAAGGGCTTGATATTTTCACTCACAACAAATACTGTTGCTTGCTTTGAAAGGCTCACTTCAATCATTTAAGAAAACAAAGCCTTCCAGATACCCCGTCTGACTGATAGTAGTGTGTCAGTCATTCCTTCAGGCGAAAGTGAGATTCCGTGGGAGAGCAGCAGCGAGCGAGTAGCCCACACATCTGAGTTTTTCCTCCGCACATCCATGGTGACTTGGTGCGAAGCAGAAGTCTGTTCTGTGTCCTTCGCACTTCTTCGCACAGAACCTTAAAAAGCCATGAACTCAAGGCCTGAAATCTAATGAAACTGGCAAGCTGTGTCGCTTTACCCGGGAGCTTTGCAAATGAGGCCAGCTCTTCATTTCTCCGGGAGTGGCCGAGGACAGAGTTTGATGCCATGCTGAGGCACTAGCAGGTTCACCCCTCACTGCCCACACAATGACAGCCAAGGGAGCGGTGAACATGCTGTCGTAGTGTTATTGTAAAACTAGTTTTAATTCCCAAAAGGGTCTAAGAGTCCTCCAAAGATCTACAAGCCACACTGGAGAACGCTGGTTTGTATTACGCATACTACATGATGTAGTGTATGATTCTGGCGATTTTTTTGTTTTGTTTTAAGATTACAGGGAAACTGTCACATGCAAAAAAGAGTTCTAGCAGCAAGAACAGGAATATGAGCAGCGGTCCTGTCACGCGAAATATGACTACAGGAAAGAGTAGGACTGTGAACAGCACGGACTTCCCAACTCCTCTTCGCCTTGCATGTTCAGGTGAGATTTAGCGAACTCTCAGGAGCCCTAATGCTGTGTGCCAGTGGGAGTTAACATGCATTAGACGGCAGCCTCGAGAATGGTAGAGTTTCTTAGAAGACAAAGCTCTGTGAAGATGGAAAAGAATTGTTCAAAAAAATTAGTTTTCTTGTTCCTAGTTTGGATGATACAAAGGGGTTTCCAGTTTCAAACACAAATCGCACTACTTCAATTTCAGTGTGAGTCTTGAAGCTGAACTCCTGTGGCTCTATAACCAACAGAGAGAAAGTTTTGAGAAGGGATGGTATTGGCAGTGATGGTCACTAGAATTGGCAGAGTGGGTGGGAGGAGGTCTAGCCATCTACCTGACACCCCAACAAGGATAGGGAATAGATCAGAAGGCAATAAAACATGTGCATTCATCGATATAGGTGGAGGAAGATGCATTTATTGTTCATCAGTGTTTTTGAAGATTTTGCTATATCGAAGTAGTAATTTCTTTATCTTTAGTGATTTCCAATTAGACTCTGAATGAATTGAGTTATTAAGGATTACCAGAATTAAAGGGAAGCAGGTTAAAAATCTAAAAATAATCAGAACACTTATATAGCCCTTCTAACAGGTGATGAAAGTATCTTCAGATTATCATGTGACGTAGGCTAAAACCTGAAAGGTAGGTATTCAGAAACATGCCGGGTCAGTGATTGTTACTGGATTATTAGTAACAAAATCCCAGACAGGCATCTGAGTCATTCATTTCA